GTCGCGGCGGCGACAATGCTCTGGTGTGCCAACATTACGGCATGCAATTACTTGCGGCATGACCGCGCGAAAATAAAAATACTTTGTATCCAACAATCTCTATAAATTATAGTTGCCATCCCCACTGGTTTATCAATATTTGTATTTAATAAGGGTGCTTCCCTGATGTCGTATTTCATCGGTATTTCTGATACAATCCTAATTTTTGGCTTTTCTACTTTAATTTCCTCTAAAATACACCTACAATATTTCAATATACGAGAATTCCCTGACTCATGTTGATCCCAACATATTTCGTTGTGAGCGTCTTCCATTGTATATGGTATTCGCCTCCTAAAAGGTTCTTGGTCTTCATACCTGTATATTTCCATTTCTCTTACTAATTTTCCTTTTTCCGTCAATGCTACCGTGATAAGTCGACCTTCGGCTCGCTCGATCAGCTTTAACTCATATTCTGGTGCTTCCCATGAATTGTTGTCAAATCTGACCACCTCACTCGTTGTCTGGGTGTCATACACCACAATTGTCTTTATTATATCTTGCCTACAATGTTATTAATTCGACCAGAAAATTATTTGATTATTTATTTTGACAAAAGTACAAAACATATACATTTATTTAAAACATGAAAGCTGAATTTATTTAAATATTTAAGTATTCTGAATAACTAGAATAAATTCGGTTTGACTCGAATATTTTCTAAGTTCAATCTAATTAATTTAAAGAACAGAATGGCGTGAAGGTGCTCTGTCTAGTCTGGTCAAGTTGCGTCTGATTACAGGCCGTTTCGGGGTCCCTTATATAGTGCTACCCTCTACTCCCCATAGTATACTTGCTCTTGTCGCTGTTCTCACGGATGTGGTATAGTTATCTAGACTGACGGGAAATGTTACTCGCCCACATACAAGTCAAAATGTGCATCCTGTGCCATCAGAGTACACAATTATAGTTCTCATCGACTGATCAAGCAATTGACATAAATAGTCAACAAGACATGATGCAAAAACAGAAGCAGACATTGAACATTCTGATTCATCAAACCAATATGCCATGGCGTCATGTGTAGCCAAGCTATAAACAGTAAAGTTGTGAGCTGTCAATTTTAATTTATAGTAAGCAGAAGAGGCTCTTATATTAGGAACACATTGTACAGCCATCAGATCGCAACAGATAGTATGACACATTTCTTGTTTCGCAGCATCTTTATCTTTTTGCTTTTCATTACGTGCTGATTCTTTTCTTTTGTGTGTTTTTCATATAGCTCGTTATTTACGTGGTTGTTATCAAAACTTGTACATGTATCACAGCGATCTTTTTAGGAATATAAATGTCGATATTACGCCCTTTTTTCTCACGATCAAACGTATGCCTGGAAACGGGTTCTTCAGAATCATTGTACACACTTTTCTATGTACATGTTGTAGAGTTGTGTCCAAGACTTGACATCAGTTTGAAGAAAAAGCTTTTTAGATGTCTTCCTACAATAATGTGACGGTAGTGTAGGCAATAAGTCAAAAAAACGTTGCAATGTAACTATTTTTTGGAATGATTTTTTCACTATTGATCTATCTTCTTCTATGACGTTATCTTCTTCATTGTATTCATCGTTATCAATAAATGCATTGCATTTTACAGTGGGAAGGTTAGTACTTTTGTAATTTTGAATCCAATATCGGACCTCAGGTTTTTTTAAGCCCAGTGTACTGAGATACATCGACTGACATACTGGTACTTTTTTTCCGCTTATACGTAGAAAGTAAAAAAAAAAACTTGAGCCTCTTCTGGAATTAGTGCCTTCAACTGTTTGTTGTTTGGTTCCTAAAATGTCTACAGTTGAGCAAACAAACATCTTCTTTGATTCCCAATTCATTTCTTTCCAAAATTCATTGAACAAATGTTCCCTTTCATCTTCAGATATTGTGTTACAATGTCTATTTTTCCAACGTCTACAAGTCGGAGAATTGCATGTGGCTCCCATCTTACTCGATTCTCGCATTACGTCATGAAATATTTTTTTAGTGCTCTTCGGATTTTCTCTTCTATAACCCAAATACGCAGAACCTTTCATACGCAGTATTTTTGCTTTATTTCTGTCCCATTCCTTTGGTTCGGCTATTTTTTTTCGTTTTTTAGGTTCAGTTTCACTTATATAATTTTTTTCTTCTGATGTTTGTGAATGATCTGTTAACGTATTATCGCTGGAGTCAACCTTTTCTTGCACAACAGAATTATCGACGTCATAATTATTAGAGCTAATATCATTTAAGTTTCTGGGAGACAAAGTATCGTGGTTAGATATTATATCAGTTAGCTTTACTTTATTAACATCATTGTCTTCTAAGTTGATTTTATTATCAACACAGTTCTCATCATTAATTACGTAATTATAAAGGTCATTCACATTCTTCAGAACACCAGCTTCGTCAT